TACCATTTTGAGCACACATTTGAGATGCATATGTTGCATATCGTGAGAGTTATCAAGGTGAGATAGCCCCTGGGACACCAGAGGCTAAAATTAAAATTTATAAAAAAATGCTACATTTTTCTACATTTCATTAGTAATATGAAAAAGACAGGATGAGGATTATATGTTACATACAGTATCTTAGAAGTTATTATTATTATTATATGGTGCGATATGATTACCCAGGAACGTAAGAAGCTAAAATTAAAATTTTTGAAATGTATAATCATTTTCTACTTCTTATTAGTAATATTATGATAAAAAAGCAAGAGTACATACACCTTTTTGAGTACATTTGAGATACATATGCTCCATATTTTGGAAGTTATTAAGGTGAGATATGGTCACCCCTGGGACGTCAGAAGCCAAAATGAGAATCAATATTATTCTAAATATACAATTATTTTTTTTTACTTCTTATTAGTAATATTATGACAAAGCAAGAGTACATTCACCATTTTTAGTACATTTGAGATACATATGCTCCATATTTTGGAAGTTATTAAGATGAGATAGGGTCTCCCCTGGGACGTCAGAAGCCAAAATGAGAATCAATATTTTCTAAAATGTACAATCATTTTTCTACTTCTTATTAGTAATATTATGACAAATCAAGAGTACATACACCATTTTGAGTACATTTGAGATACATAAGCTCCATATTTTGAAAGTTATTAAGGTGAGATATGGTCACCCCTGGGACGTCAGAAGCCAAAATGAGAATCAATATTTTTTAAAATGTACAATCATTTTTCTACTTCTTATTAGTAATATAATGACAAAGCAAGAGTACATACACCATTTTGAGTACATTTGAGATACATATGCTCCATATTTTGGAAGTTATTAAGGTGAGATATGGTCACCCCTGGGACGTCAGAAGCCAAAATGAGAATTAATATTTTTTAAATTGTACAATCATTTTTCTACTTCTTATTAGTAATATTATGACAAAGCAAGAGTACATGCACCATTTTGAGTACATTTGAGATACATATGCTCCATATTTTGGAAGTTAATCATGTGAGATATGGTCACCCCTATCCTGCATGATGCCGAAATTTTAAATTTCAATAATTTTTTTCTCCGCCAGTACATAAGCAATTGATCCAATTTTAAGTATGTGGTATGAACATATATAGGTCCTTCAGAATGAATTTTTTCAGTACATTTCGTACCTTAACGAATCTAAAATAAGTTATTACACGTGGTAGAAGTATGAAAATAGGTGGCGCCCCTGTAGTGAATTTCAAAATATGCCCTTATTTTCACCCTAATTCACACAAAAAAATTCATACTGATTGTAAATAATGTTTTTGATAAGATTTTATTAGTATTTCAATGTCATTTTACTATTAAGATGTGTTAAAAATTATTTTATACCCCTACCCCCTGTTTTAAAATGAATAGATGGCGCCTCTTTAACTGCCCATAGCGAATTTACTTACCACACATTTTTACTCAAGTTAGGATAATTTACTCTAGAGAGTGTCTGGAACAAAATGATACCCTCAAACCTTTTTTACTAGCCGATCACCGAAATCGGAGCTGGGGACAGCACTAAAAGCCATTGAACCTAGACGAACCTTTAAAATACAGATTAGTACAGTCACATGGAGTACCTCAACTTGAGGGAATCCTCCATCTATTTACATGGGCCAACTCTTTCTTTCTTGTGGCTGTATGACAGACTAAGATGAAAACTAAAAGATGCTTACCTTGACGTATGTGTTGCTATAGAAATCATCCTCCTCTTCATCCTTGGACTGATCTTTGAAACACAACAGTGGCATCTTATCTATTGATTATTACTGTACCAATATTGCGGGCATTCAAATATAATCCTTTTGTCATTTAATCCTTCACTTAAATGGGGCACCAAGTTTCAAGCAATTTGCAACTTCACGTTATATCTTCAGATTTTCAGTGTTTTCTTCATCAATATCTACTTGTGGACAGTCCCATTCTATATCAATCTCAAATTATAACTCATAATCCTCTATTGCTTATTTTATTCATCGGGAAGCTTACAGGATATAACTATCTGTCATAAGCTCAAATCGTCTTGCACAATCCAAAGAAAGTCTGTATATAAGTTTGCCACAAACTAATCAGTAGCAATTATATGTACTATACACGTCTTGTTATACAAAGTTGTTTTGTTTCACATATCCTATTACACCAATGATGCATTCATTGTTACATGAAAGAATGCTTCATTTGAGACCAATGAGATCATCCTGACTCCTCTTATGCGCAGTTCTACAGGTGGTTTTAATATATCACTTTAAGAAGTAGAACAAAACAGATAGCATTCCAGATAAATGTTGGAGATCTTCCCAAGTAAGATAAACCCGGATTGTAGTAAACAAATTGCGTTTTTGTGAACCTCTATCTTGAGGCAAAGTATGGATAAGTTATTTTATCAAAGGTACCATGCAGATTGTAAAATGTTGTTCATTTATCTCAGGTAGAAAATCTATTTTTTCCCTTCACTGCTATTGTGTGGTAGCCCTTAGTATGGTAAACAAACTAAGGTAAACTTCACATGAGTCAATTTTTCACTATCTTTTTCTGTTTTACATTTAAAAAAGTGATTTAAAATGAGAGTTAACTAAATGCTGGTATTTAAATTGTAGTTAATCACTGAAACTAGACATCAAAGTTAAATAGATCATGTTTTAACACTTAAGATCCTGGTTATGAAGATTCTGATATTGTCCATCAAGAAAGGACAGAATTGTTAGATTTAAAACCAATTTTCTACTGGACCATGTAATTCCTTAATGTTTTAGTCAATATATTGTCGCCTCTGTAAAATCCATTCTAATGACTTACATTCCTATGAGGTTTCAGCAGATCTTCATGTATTAATACAGAACACATAAATGCAAACTATCAGCCACTTGTCTTTAAATTGATGAAGTTTGAATAAACTTGTTGATTTTCACTTATTGTTTACATCATTATAATAACCTATCGTGATAATCCAATAACTGTACATGTATGTCATTCACAATTGACGATCAATTTACGTCAAAGATCCTCCTGTGAAGTTCTAGTTCCTTGTTAACACTAGAGGACAGTGTGTCCCAGATCAAACAACCTCAACATAAATCCTATCATCTGCAATACATCCTGCTCTGATGCATTATGGGATGTTTGCCTTTCACTTTGGTTACGTAATACAAAGTGGAAATGTTTATAGGTCAATTGTTATCAAGCTATGATTATTATTGATACTTTGTGCATAATTCCAATAATACAGTATATCATAGTCTATGTGATATCAGTCTAGTGTTATTTATGATCCAAATGCCTCTTCAAAGTTAAACTTACTAAACTTACAATTCGTGAATTCACACAATCCAAATAAAACCTGCGCAGATCACATCCTATAATATAACGATGTGCATGTGAATTACATTTTCTAATTTCAATTTCCTTGGTGTTCGCAATCCATATGTAATTTTCCTAGTATAGACTAATAATACGATTTACTTTCATTTTCAGTTCCAGTGATATTAATATTTATGTAAATATACTATAAAATGCTTTAAGTAGAATTTAATAAAAAACATTGAATTCTTTGTGATGATTTCACTTTTTTGTGTTGCGGTTTCAAAAATGTCATTTTTTAGTCGAGAATGTCTTATCAGATTCACCTTCCCCCTTCACTATAAGTAATAAAATCTAGAATATGTTTAACTTCAAAGTCAAACCAATGAAAGCAGTTTTTATGGACATTAGAGGCTATATTATTCCATTTCCTTGCTTTTATCAAACTTCAAAAACTCATTTTCTCACGTTTAAGCTGCTTGCTGATACGCTGAAAATACGCCTACTACCTACTGGTTCAAGCATATAACGTAAATCCTGATTTTTCTTCCCCTGTAGCATGAAATATTTCAATTTTTACAACTTTCTGTCAAAATATTTGAAAATCAATCTTCCTAACGGCACTTTCTAAACTAGGAATTATTTGATAGATTGGCTCAAAGTAAACATACTGACACAAGCATAAAATCTACAAATCTGAATGGTGCATATATTTATCAATGATTTCAAAAGTGTCACCTGTTAATGGAGGTCTATTATTAATATAAATCTTAATTTTGTATATATAGAATGAAATAGAATATTCCCCTGTTTGGTGATTTAGTAATGAATGCCATAGATATTATAATTAATGATACTTGACCATTGAGGAAATGCAGCGCCAAGGGCCATGAATTACACTGAACTTGCATTCATTTTAAGCCTTTCAACAACCGGAGACACGTTCGTGAGATTTCATCTCAATATCAGTGTCAAAAAAACAGATATTTTTCCAATTTGTTTCAAAACCAGATGTTTTAACACACACATTTTATTAATTATCATCAATTTTGTACTTATTGAAAAAACTCTATGACCTTTATTTGATCTGTGGTTCCCATAATACAGCTGGATGTAGCAGACGGATGTGTCCCATAATGCCCCTGGCTAAAGCAGACGGACATGGGTGTGTCTACCATGGGTGGCCAGGATGTTCAATGATCATTATATGACAACAGAGTTAGAGGGCAAACAATTCTAAAGCTCCTATTACATCCCTCCTATTCAGTGTACAGCATCCAGTCTTAAATCATTATGTAATATAACAATGATGTGGGCTCATAGAATATTTAATAAACATCTTCAATGGAAATATGATTCATAGATTTAAATCCTTATCCTGTCCTATAAACTATTCAAGGTGCACTTGTTATTTATGTTATTTATCCACTGTGCCCCCACCCATCCCCTGCTAAAGGAGCTGGTAAGGAATAGAACTTCACTTGTCAAACTTCACTTTTGGAACTCTCTACCAATTGTGCCACACAGAGTGTGGGATGTTGACACTCGACATGTCACAGCTTCAACAATAAATGCTGTAAAAGAAACCTGAAAAGAAGTATGCTATAATGTTTGGTACTCACGTCAAGTAAAAGTTTAACGACTTCTATTTTTCCATACATTGCAGCTTCGTGAAGGCACGTTCCTTGAAGCGTTTGTCGATTGATATCTACACCATTATTACATAAAAGCCTGCAACAAAAATACAAATACAATTGAACTGGCTGAATCTTCATATTTCAAGGTGTTCAACTTACAGTTTAGAGAAGTGTTTACATCTGACTGTAGCAAATGGAAGAGTCCCATAATACACTTGGCTAGAGCAGACAGACATGGGTGTGTTTTACTATATATAGTTTTGATTTTTTCTGACAATTTTCAAAATTACAAAATCAAAGTGGCAAACTCCTTAGTTGTTTTACAGTTGGGTAAAAGATAAGGGATTTACAGATTAAATGTTTATGCAAAAACGGCCCAAATTACCTGATTATATCAGAGTGACCATTTTTAGCAGCTAAATGAAGGCACGTCGTTCTGTCATTATCTGACATGTCGTCTTGACTTTCAACCAATAGGTGGCTGCACAGGTTACTCTGCATGAGCAATTCCGCAACCTGAAAATATACAGTGACATCTATATGAGATTTTTGAATACATTTGGAAGATAAAGCTACAGCTTAGCTGGGCAGTGGTGAAAATAAGGACTATGTTAGTGATGATTAGTAAGAATTGGCACGAAAGTGCACGGTATATTTAAAATGTTTCAAATTATGTCTCCAGAGTCTATTAGTCATTTTTTGATAAGTTGCCTTCAACGAGTACACTTTCATAGATTTATAATTGCTTTCACTTCACATTAAGATTTGAATTCCAATTCTTTGAAGTATGACAAGTTACATCTCGTAGTTTAATGCCATGGTATTGCAGATATTTTTCTTATTCAAAATTCTGGGCAAGTTTGACTTTACAATAAAATTAATTAGACAAAAAGCATCAAAAAGGTTTACTGGTAAGGCTTTGAAGTGGAAGAGTAATTCTGATTCTAAGCAGCTATCTTTTTTTTTTTAATTGTCACATCTAGATGTTATGGTGACCCAAAAGAGTTTTAGTATTGATTTTTGATTTTTCGCAAAAATGTAGCAAAATCGCAGCAGTGTTAAGATTTTATGCTACTTTTCGCAGTAAATAGAAAAATCTAAAACTTTTCTAAATCAATGTATATTCTAAAATAAAAGGTTTTAAAGAAAAGAAAAAAAAATTGAGTGTTAGGAATACTACAAAGAAACTGTATTCCAAATAAAGTGTATTAAAAATTTCATGGAAAATAAGTAGGAATTGGTGATAATAAGTAATTTCGAAGTTTGCGGCAAAATATCCAGTGGAGTACTAGGTTTGACATCGACCATCAAACACGAACCACAAAAAAATGGAGACTATAGCAATACCTACTTGTGGTGGCAACATAATATTTAAAACAAAAGAAAACTCACACCAAGTGTATATAACCAGAACAACGGCAATGCCAAAGCGTAGCGAATCCCATCGAACAGCCATGGATGGCATTTTTACAAACAAAGTATATAGCAAAATGGCAGCCATTTTACAAAATGGTCGCCTTCTACCAAAAGTGTCATTAGACCATGTGCTATGCTTATAGTATTCACATACCAAAATGAACAAAATCCCTCCTTTACTTTTCAAGTAATAGTAAAATACGTTAAAATGGCGGCCATTTTTCAAAATGGCCACCTACAAAAAGTGCCATTAGACAGTGTGCCGTGCTTATAGTATTTACATACCAAATATAAACAAAATCGCTCCACTACTTTTTGAGTTATAATAAATATGTTAAAATGGTGGCCATTTTGAAAAATGATCGCCTTCTACCAAAAGTGTCATTAGACAGTGTGCCATGCTTACAGTATTCACATACCAAATATGAACAAAATCGCTCCACTACTTTTCGAGTTATAGTAAAATATGTTAAAATGGCGGCCATTTTTCAATTTTTTTCAAAATGGCCGCCTTCTACCAAAAGTGTCATAGGACAGTGTGCCATGCTTATAGTATTCACATACCAAATATGAACAAAATCGCTCCACTACTTTTCGAGTTATAGTAAAATATGTTAAAATGGCGGCCATTTTTCAATTTTTTTCAAAATGGCCGCCTTCTACCAAAAGTGTCATAGGACAGTGTGTCAGGCTTATAGTATTCACATACCAAATATGAACAAAATCGCTCCACTACTTTTCGAGTTATAGTAAAATACGTTAAAATGGTGGCCATTTTTCAAAATGGCCGCCTTCTACCAAAAGTGTCATTAGACCATGTGCCATGCTTATAGTATTCACATACCAAATATGAACAAAATAGCTCCACTACTTTTCGAGTTACAGCAAAAATCGTAAAATAACGAGAAAAGGCCGCCATTTTTCAAGATGGCTGCCATGTGCTTCTTTAATATCTACATTTCTAACTTTATTAATGTCCTATATAATTTTTTTACATCTAAAACATATTGCTATTACAGTTTTACATATTGCACCTAAATTACTGTAAATTCAGCACTAAAATGGCCGCCATTTTGAAATGAGTGGCCATTTTGAAAATCGGCTTTCGAGCAGAACTTCTACCCCCATAGGGTATATGTGTACAAAATATGAACAAAATCGGGCCAACGGTATTTGAGTTATTGCCCGGACGGACGGACGGACGTACGGACGGACGGACGTACGGACGGACGGACAGATGTACGGACGGACGGACGGACGGAGGCGTTCCCTATATCCCTCCGAACTTCGTTCGATGGGATAATAAATAGTATACAGAGTATACCAGAGGCATACACCCTTAAATTGGCGACAGACCACAACAAAGTAAATGGCACAACTTAATGATTTCATGAATTTATTAATGATAATGGAGTTTAACATTTTTTTTTTTTTTTTTTTTTTTTTATTAAAAAAACATATTGACTTCTGTAATATATTCTTACAAAGTATATTTTAAACATTCACTCCATTTCACAGACATCCTTCTTCATTCATTCCATATCTTATTATCATTTTCTTTACAGTATTTTAAATACATTTCGAATTTTCTGTACACTGGTAGTTCTCGTAGCAATTTTTGATTATACAAGAAGTATTTTGCAATAATTATAATCATATTTTCGTATTTGCTCCATTTTTTAGAGCCAAAGAGCACATTGTTTAAATCAAAATATTTGAGTTTTTTCAAAATGTGTTGCTTAACACTGTTCCAAAACTGATTTGTATATTCACAAAGATAAAATAAGTGATCAATCGTTTCAAATGCAGTATGACAGAATTCGCACATCGGCGATTGTATTACATTATATTTAAATAGATCATTGTTTGTATATAAAATGCAATTTATAAGTTTAAATTGAAAAGCCCTGTGTTTAGAATACGTTAAAATGTAATGATAATACATATAATAAAAATTCCAGTCTTCTTCGTTTAATTTATATTTTATACTAAGCTTTCCTTTTGCTGTTGGTTGTTCAGCAATGTGTGACAATAAAATAGAATACAATAACTTTGATGTACATTTGTTAAACTGAAATATTTTTTTTCCATGTACAATATCAAAATTACAGTGTTTTACATCTAAATTGACATTATTTTCAAATACATTATTTCTTATAAGCCAAGTTCTTGGGATGGCTTTTAAAATTCCAAACCATTTCAGCATGTATACATCAGATAGACCTGTTTGTACCTTAATCTGGTGCCATGTTTTAATTGATCCATCTATAAATAAATCTTTAATTTTTATTATGCCTCTATTGAAAAATTCTTTCCAGAAGAGTGATTTATTTTGTATCGTGATTTTTTTGTTATTCCATATTATTTCCTCTGGTATATCGGTTTGTGAACGGGGCAATTAAAACCATCAGACAGCTGACAAATGTGGTACTTTCACGTATGTAATGTATGGCAGTGACATCTATCAAATAAAGATGAGAAAAATATCCATGACTATATTTTCATTTTGGACCATGATTCATAAATATCCAGAAAAAAAGTGAAATACATTTATGATTTCAATCATAAAACAATTCTCATTGTGTAGGTACACATTAAAAGAACATACAGAATGGTAAAGATATTGACAACTTTTTGAAAACAATGAAGCAACAGTCTTTAGGAAACATTAATTCACCTGGCTAGGAGGTGAAAGATGGAATGTTGAGGCTGGAGTTAATTAGCTTAATGACTTGCAATTAGCTTCTATCTGCCTCAATATGTCATGATGTCTCCCCACATCAGACCTAGGAATTCTACAGAAGATGCTCCCCAGTCTCCCAGAGGAATATTACAGTCAAACTGAACACTCATCAACATCTGTCAAACCATAAGTCAAACATAATTATGTATTCAAAACTCATAAAATAAAGTATAAAATCCTGTATTTTCACTCCAATGGAGGTTTTGTTTTAAGAAAAGCATTCATGCATAGATTCTCCATACCTCTGAAAAAGGTGGGAAATTAGGTAATTTACCCATGTTTATGAAACAGAAGCGAATCATAAGTTGCTTCAATAAGAACATGAATTGCAACTTTTATAGCATCAACCATTACGAGGGCTTTGTATGCACCATATATGGTCAAAGTTCCCCTATCATGGTTTTATCTCATTCTCCCCTCCAAGAACTGAAAAGTTACACAAACTCTGGCTATCTCTTGGGATGGTAAATGTCATATTAATGTGAAATGTTGGGTCAAACAGATGCACATAAGTGTGTCTATAATTACAGTTTGTGATTGGAAGTATGTTGATAGCATTTCTGAGTTAATAACATCATATTAAGATGAGCACATGAAGTCAAATATATTAATAATATGTACTCTATTAAATTCTGAAATGTGTCTTGCCTTCGCTGGCACACCATGGCCCATAGAGGGCTACAGTTTTTCAAATCATTGATCTCATACTATTAATAGTAATACCCCCTCTATATTGAGAAGTAAGAGAACACAAGGAGCTAACTTAGACAGGGATAACAGGTACCTTAGTTTGGTCAGAGCTTTGTTGCTAGATACTCAAAATAAAGAAACTGATTTTGGTTCTTTAGCATCCATTTCCTCTATACATTCCAAAACTACTTCCAAAAAGTTCTTCTATGAACTCAAATATTCCAAACTATTCTCACTTCTGTTTTATGACAACTCTACTAAAAACCTATAAATTGAAACTTACAAACTTAGTAAAATGAATAGAAATAATCACTTATCATTATTAGGTGTAGAATTAAATAATCATTTAAGCTCCATTGCAATATAATAAGTTCATAATAGAATTATATATATCATATTTCAGATTAGGTAGATATTTTGAAAGTTTGATCAAATATTTGTTCATAAAGATCAGTTCATAGAAATCTCTGCAATGATAGTTTCAGACAAAGCCCAATCTATAACTATAGCATAATAGATACAGTATCGATACAGACTGTTCAAAGTGCCATTAATAGATCAACTCACAGACAAAGAATTATATATTCTTGAGACATGATCAAGTATAGTGAGATATAGCACAACTGGGATGTAACATCACTCAACACAATGAGAAATCCAGCATTAT